TACAAGGAAGTTAACTTTAGCAAAATATTGACTTTAAAAACTGGCTTTTCAAAAGAGCAGCAACTCTCTTCATCCATTTAGTGGAGTGTGAGAAACATATTTTAAACACTGTAGAACACAATGAGAAATAGTGGGTATTTTTTGAAAGACTGAAGTGTTTTGAAAGTCTTGCCCCAGGAATCTTTTCCAGGTTTAACTTTATTCATGATTTTTGAGGCAGGCAAAAGCCAGCTTATTCACACAAGCGAACAAAAACATGTATGGAGTTTCAAGTCAACCAAGAGTATCTGGAAATTTCTGATGACTTCTGAAAAGAGATTTTAGCAAGTTTTAGAATTAAATATCATTCTGAAGTTTAAAAAAAAAAAAAAGGATCTTTTTTGAAGTTTTTTTTATATTGCTAAGGATCCAAATCACCCAAATTGAAAGCATTGCAAAATGAAGTACAAATAGGGCTTTTAATTTACTCTCAAGTGGTACTCCTACCTTCTCTCTCATCCACTTTTTTTTTTTTATTTTTATTTTTAAACTTCTCTTTGGTCAATTCAAAGACCGGCTGTTGATTTTCAATTTAGCAAAGCAAAAGTAAGGTAATCATACAATTGTGACAATTATCTTTTTCACAATTCTAGTCTTCCATAGATCAGATGTAAGGAAAAGACTCTCTGTCTAAATATTCTAAGCAAAAACACTGGCAAGTCATTCAATCATGGTAAAGTATTCTAAGCAAAAACACTGGCAAATCATGCAACCATGGTACTTACCCACTGTTTATCTTGGAAAGGTGAGAAATTCCCAGCCCATATTGCTCTGAAGTATACTTCCCCAACCCCATTCAAAAATAACATTTAATCAAATTGGGAAGCTGTGCTTAAACAAAACATTAGCTGGACTTTCAATCAGTTATTTTAATTCCTTCCCACTTTAATAGCATACTGACTGTTTGCAGTATTTGTGGCAAAAACTCTGATCAGTCTATTCTTCCCAAGCTGTGTTCTGTTGACCCAGATTTTAAACTATGGGGGCTGACCTACCTTATTTTAGTAAGAAGTTTCTAAAATATACATTACAATGCACCCAACACAACATACAAATCTATCATTAAGTGATTCGCTTGAGCAGCAGTAATAGTAGTAAACCATCATTTTATCTCCTACTGCTAATATAGTTGTCTTGCAATAGAAAGACTGCAGCTGCCAAGTCAGGTTTCCCTTTAACAAGATTGGGAGTGTAAAGCCAGGGGGTTCAACAGGAGGCAGCCCTATCCCATACATCCTCATTAGCAGGATTATGCAAGTGAAGAATCAGATCACATCCTTCTTCGCACACAGGAAACAGATCTGAACTAATCTGAGGTCAATGACTCATTCATAAAAACATGCAGGCCCACTTAACCACCCTGAGATTTAGCACTGAAATTGTACTGTGATAAAAGACATCACACCCACGTATCGTTCAGTAAAATACATCCTGAAAACTGAAATTGGTTCCACAGCACCTTTTTCTCACCCGTGCTACGTGGCCTACAGCTAGGCCTGAAAAATAGCGTTTTCTAACTCTGTATCCACCTCAGGAAGAAAGTTGTTCCAGAGCACTTGGAAATCACTGGATTTTTCCAAAGCTCTCCTGGTTCCATGGAAAGAGTCTACCGCTAGTCCCCAATTCCAATGCCAGTGGATTAACCTTTAGGCATTTAAGGGTACTTACTGTGGATTGCTGCGTGAAAGGAAGGGAGGCACTCATGGTCAGAAAACAGGTGCAAAGCTACCAGTTGTTATAGTAATACCTTACCCCAACTACAAGAAAGCACCATGTTAAATTTTATGTACAAATACTAGCCCTGAATCTGGCTGGCCATTCACTGGGTGATAAATTAATCTTTTTTCTGTTTCAAAGTTCAAAGTGTACTCTGTTATACTATATGCACCAAGAAGTAAATTTAATAGTGCAAAATTTAGAAACAGGAAAAATACTGGCGAGTCCTTTAGAACTTGACATCTGGAACCTTGAATGTATACTTTTAGAAACCCTCACTGAAATTACATCTGAAGCAAGCTGAAAAGACTGAAGAGGGTTGGGGGGCAGGGGGGTTCTCTCCATCAAATTGTCTCGATTTTGATCTTCTTCTGCTTTGACGTTACTGCAATACTTTCCAATTCATCAATTTTCTTTTGGAACCCAGGACCCAGCATGCTGATACTGATTTCATCAGTGCCACAGACAAAGATCCTGTTAATGTCCTCCTATTCATGGATTCAGATCACCCATGACTAACAGGTCACCAATAAGGGTGTCCTAGAAGCTAAAGGTTCCTCAGTTTCCAGTGGAAGTACTAGTATTAAAAGTGTTGAGCGTACTCCACAAAGACATTTGTACCATTAATAAAAGCTTCATGGCCATCTGCAAGCATTCATGTTATGTATTAGGAAGCATACAAGTGGTTTAGTTTTTGGTTTTACACGTTTGGACAGACACTGCCAGGACAGTAATAGTTCTCCAAGGGCAATGCCTCATGGATAGCATCAGTAACAAAACTGAATTAACAGCCCCTTTCTTGTCTTCCAGATTGCTGTGGCACAGGTGCTCCAGAAAAGGACCTGGGCAGGGGGGGGTCCTGGCAGAAAAGCTGAATGCAAGTCAATAGTGCATCTGGGGGGCAACTGCACAGCAAGCCGCATTATGGCCAGGTGAGGATGGCCAGGGCCTGGAGCACAGGGCGTACCAGGAGAGGCAGAGGGCACCAGGTTTGTTGCACCTGGAGGGGTCTCTAATTACAGTCCTCAACTTCCTAATGGGGGTCACAAAGGAGATGGAGACCAATTAACAGAGACACATAGTTAAAGGATAAGAGGCTACAGGCACAAATGACTACAAGTAAAATTTTAACTAGGTATAAGGAAAAACCAGAACATTTGCTTGTAGCTCGCTATTCCCTCCCAGACTGATCCTGCTTTCAAAGCTGGAATATAAAAGGAAGGGCCACAGCTGTCTTAGTTTCAATGGCAAGTTTTCAAGCATTTTTCCTCAAAGATTCTACTTATACTCCATTCTGCTGATTCCTCTTTGCCACTTTGAAGCAGAGATCCTTTAACACAGTCTCAGAGAAGCCAGGAAAGATCATTTTCTTTTCCTTATGTATCTCTTCCCAGTTCTCCTGTCCTCAGGGAAGAGGGACACGACAGGTATGGGGGAGGAGGGCAAGGGGAATCAGGAAACTCCAGGTTATGATGTTCTAATAACTAGCAGAGAAAACCAAAAGGCAAGGACAAACCATACAAATGGGATGTAATGATACAAAATAATGTGTTTGGTGCTAGCTATAATGTCTTCACTGTTGAAGATATTGAGATGAAACCTTCTCTTACTGTACTCATGACACTAAAACCTTCATATAAAACTGCTGATGTTCCTCCAGATAGCCCCAAGACAATCCACACTTTTTTCCCCTAAATAATCAAATCTTTTTAGGAGGAGACTCTGTAGACTTCTAAGACTCATTGGTAGAAAACCCTCAGAAAAGTGGAGCTGTGACAGAGAGGCTCCTTTAAGTGTACTTTGAACCTTTAGAAGCAAAGTTATTTCCTAAGTGTTTCTTGTAGGGACAGAAATCAGGCCAATAAACGTAAGCTAGCACCTCAAGCTAACGGGCTTAAGAATCCTGACAAGGTGAAAACTCATTTTTCACCAGCTACGAGTGAGAAACAGTTTTATTAAGTAGAAAACAACGAGAAAAAAAAAAACAGTTTTTCTGCCTTACCTGAGGCTAGTGTCTGTATAAGGCATGGCCATTAGCTGGGAATCTACCTTTTCACTGAGGGAGTTCTGAAAAAGAGAGAAAAAGATGACACAAAGGGAAAACAATAAGCGTGTTCTTATTTTGACACTACGTAACGCATGATTCAAGTCTGTAGCAGAGAGTGAATATGTTAGGGGGGCAGGGGTTAATCAGTGTCGTGAACAATAAATGTACGTTTTTAATGGAAAAACATGAATAACTGAAATGGCAACCAGCACTCAAGCTAGAGCCAAAGAAAAGGGATTTTAATACAGCCAAATGTGAAGTCACACTTTCAGAGACAAAGAATAGAGGCTGGTACCACACATAGTAGCTGCATATATTTTGTCAACTGACTGCAAAGTTTGCCATCAGCGATGTCAAACTTGTAGAATTCCTTTGAGGTCACATCCGCTTCATATCTCTGCCAATATGTAATACCCACAAGACATTTCAATTTGAAACTCTAAAACCTAAACGTGCCCCACTTGAACGTTCTACCATTTTCCTTTGGACAACAGTGAGAAGAATCCGATGTTTAATAGTCAGAAAATCTTCTCTAAACGTATGTGGTATTGTCCACATTTTTAAGCGCAATTCCTTTTCAGGCTGTTAGAATCTCTTCATCAAATGAAACACTTAGAAAATTCACAGTTTTAATTTCATTCTCGCTATCAATATGTCATGTAGATGAAAAGGATTTTACAAAAAGGTAAGCATGAACACAAATCTCATAATTCTGTACTCTTACCAAAAATGTATCCCTCTAGCAAAAATCTGAAAAAATGAAATAGAAATATTTCATCAAAAACATTTAGCTGCAACCCTTAACAGTGAGCCTACTGAGCGTGACATAGATTACATTTCTCTCCCTCAAACAACTGTTTGTCTTTACACAGCCTTACAGAGAACTCAAAAAGACAACTATCGATTTCACTCTAGAAAAACAACTGAACGTATTTTGATGACTGCTGAAAAATAAAAACTTTTAGCCTGAATCAGAGTGCAGGAATGGAAAATTTCCACCTCAGCAAGAACTCTGACAACATCATAAACGACCAAAACCAGCAATTTGAAACAAGAAGCGTTGGATAACCTCAGTTACAGGCACTGTTGGCTACTTTTGTCTATAATAACAAGAACAGAGAAGTAAGAGAGAGTATTTGGTTGTGTTGCCTGAAATTAACTTGTCATGCTATTGACTCACCAGTATAAAACTACCTACCTGCATAACCCGTGCTTTCTGTTGCTGGTTATTTGATGATCTTCTAGACCTTGTTCTTTCCACTTCATGTCTATGAACCCATCCTCGAAGTTCGTGATTCAACCTAAAAAACACCACAGCATTAACAGGAGATGTTTCAAGGAACAGTGGCAGAATGTTTTAATTTTAGAAAACAGTTTAACTGACCACTTTGAAAACCCTGCAGTTCAGTACCCTTTTTACCTTATGATACCTTATTTTTAAACACCAGATGAAGAAAATGTAGTTGCGAGATTAAATTTATAAGAAAATCCATAAGGAAATAGCTATGAAGTACTGGAATCATGGATATGTCAACATAAAGCAGATACAGTCCTTTCTTTTGCCATAACGAACAGTAATTCTGAAATTTAAAATCAAAAGGCTACCAGCTCAACTAAATACTGGTCAAAAGAGTAAAACACTGAAAATAAATTTCAGAGTAAAGAGACAGAATGGAAAAAGCAATATGGAACCAAGTTTAGTGATGTGCTCATATCTTTAGAAAAGATGGAGTTAAGTGTTTTTTAATAGCATAAAGCAGATGGGGAGCGCCAGGTAAGTCTGCTTGTATCAGAAGTTAAAGGGTATGAGACCATTCTGATGCATTTCAGACGCAACAGGCTTTTAACTGGCCTTGATTTCCATATTATAAACATTTCTGCACATGAAGTGATTTCTCTTTTGAGCCATGAAAAAGTTACAAGATTAAGTTTATTTAATTCATATGTTTGACAGAAACTCAAACTGAAATGCCACTTAAGTTCAATGATCTAGATGTCAACAATATTAACAGCCAATATTGAACTAGCTTAACAATGCACTTTCAGTTGAAATGGTAGGCCTAAGATTTATCCATTAATCAAACTTGAATAGATATCAGCCAAGTCAAACTCTTGTGGGCCAGAGGGCCATTTTGAGGTGGCCCTCTAAAGCGTCTCCTATGTAAAACCAGTGTAGCAGTCTGCCCAGTTCCTTCAGACCAAGCAGCTCTGCTCAGCAATCCTGTGAGCCATCCCAGCAGGTTTACCAAGACCAAAGTCAGATCTTCTGTCTCCATTGTAGAAGATGTTGGACAGTACAAACGCTTACAGAGGCATCGGTCACACACTGCATGAATCAATACTATGGATGAACAATGTCATTCTCCAGAGCCGCCTGTCCAGCAGCACTCACCCAACATACACATTATACATAAACTCCAAATAAAAGCTTAAATGCTCAAAAGATGACACTTGCTCACCTTAGTGACTCTGTGCGATTGATCAGGGGCTGACAGGGTGGTGGCGGTGGCGAAATATACAATAGTGGTTCTTCTGATACTATCATTAGTGCTTTGTTATCAGAGACTGAACGATCATACCTGGGAAAAAAAAAGACACCAAGGAATCCTTTTTTTTTTTTTTTCCCAGCAAAGCTTTGACCAAACCCAAAGAATAAGTATCACCAAGGACAAACCCACAAAGTTACAGCTGCTCCTACAGGATCTTCTGAACAGGTGATTAATAGTTTGTTCTAGCATCCAGTGGTCTTAGTCAGGTCCCCCAAAGGGTCTGATAGCTCTCAATGCAGGGAAGATACACAAGGATTAGCAGCTGCAAGATCTCTTCCCAAATAGTCCAGATACTGAAAGGAAATGTAGCCTGTCATATATTCACCATAAAACATAAGCTCCGAGATCCCTGCAGAGGCAACTTTCTCTTTCACTCCATAGCTGTCCAGGATTTGCTACATAAATACGAAACTTATTAGCCACTTAAACCACCTAGATATAAAGACCATGAGACCATATAGTTCAATGTTGGATAGCAGCTGCAAACTATATTGCAACTGAGAGGAAAGGATTTTTCCCCCAAACATCTCCAACAGTCTCCAGCAGCCAACTAGCTTTGGAGGAAAAAGTGAGAAAGAAGATGCATTTCAGTACAAAAAAATCTACGTCACTCTCAGCCACAAAGCAAAGAACATAGCCCTTTATTATCTGTGTCAATTGAGGGGTCTAACTACTTACCACCAAATGTCTACAAGAAGATCCTCTCCCGATAGGTTCACAAAGTGAACTTTATGCCCAGAACAGCAGTTTAGCTGCCAGTAAACTGATCTGTGATTCAGGTTATTAGATACACGGTGAGGACTCCACTGGGTCCAGTTTTGTTCAATGTATTCATCAATGACCTGGAGGAAGGCACAGAGTGCACCCTCAGCAAGCTTGCTAATGATACTAAACTGGGGGGAGTGGCTGACACACCAGAGGGCTGTGCTGCCATTCAGACGGACCTGGACAGGCTGGAGAGCTGGGCGGAGAGGAACCTCCTGAAGTTCGACAAAGGCAAGTGCAGGGTCCTGCACCTAGGGAGGAAGAACCCCAGGCACCAGTACAGGTTGGGGGCTGACCTGCTGGAAAGCAGCTCTGCAGAGAAGGACCTGGGAGTGCTGGTGGGCAACAAGTTAAACATGAGCCAGCAGTGTGCCCTTGTGGCCAAAAAGGCCAATGGTCTCCTGGGGTGCATTAGGCAGAGTGTTGCCAGCAGGTCGAGGGAGGTGATCCTGCCCCCTGCTGAGGCCACCCCTGGAGTACTGGGTCCAATTCTGGGCTCCTCAGTACAAGACAGACATGGCACTACTGGACAGAGTCCAGCAGAGGCCTACAAAGATGATGAGGGGACTGGAGCATCTCTCCTCTGAAGAAAGGCTGAGAGAGTTGGGCCTGTTTAGCCTGGAGAAGAAAAGATAGAGGGAATCTCATCAGTGCATACAAATATCCAAAGGGAGGGTGTCAAGAGGATGGGGCCAGTCTCTTCTCCGTGGTGCCCAGCGATAGGACAAGAGGCAATGGGCACAAACCAAAATACAGGAAGTTCCGTCTGAATATGAGGAGAGGGATATCTTCTTCACTGTGAGTGTGACTGAGCACTGGAACAGGTTGCCCAGAGAGGTTGTGGAGCCTCCTTCTCTGGAGATATTCAAAACTCGCCCGGACACGATCCTGTGCAGTGTGCTCTACATGACCCTGCTTGAGCAGGGAGGGGTTGGACTAGATGATCTCCAGAGGTCCCAACCTTCCAACCTTGGCCATTCTGTGATTCTGTGACTCCTTGCTCAAGATCAAGGAGACAGGCAGGATCTGGGCCACCAGATTAAGAGAGTCAATATTCAAAGCAAAACTAATCAGTCTTCTGGACAGGAAAAATGCTAATCCAAAAATGGTAGGGTAATTCCTCCCCTGCTTGAAGCCATATTGCAGCACTCAAGAGATGACTGTATTTTGTTAGGGAAAACAAATCTGGCAGTTGGATGTCAAATTGGAAGGAACCATAAGTTTATCTGGAGAAGGCACACGCTCTCACTCCTATCTCCAGGACAATATCAGCTGTATGGACCCATGTAATCTGAACAGGCAAAGAAGCCTTAAGTTAAACAACAGAAACTGGAAACCCTCCTAGTTCAAGCTCTGGTACATAGGGATCAGATCCCTCTTGAAGTACTCTGCTCGGATACCATGTTTACCTTGGCAACAACATGAGTTTTTCCAGTGCTGAAGAAGGCTCATGCTTTGGCAGCTGGAGGGGCAGCGGTGTCAAATTAATTCCAGATTGGTGGGTTTTTTTTAGTTTTACCACTCTAGATCTCAATACCTTCTTGAGCAAAATTTTTCAATATAGAAATATCTTTCATAATATGATGTCTCAGCCCATTCTGAAAAATCAGAGAGGGCCAGGTGTCACCTAATTTAGGTCCCTATTTCAGCATACCAGTGGCAAAACTGGGATGGCTGTGGCAGGTACATCCCACATGTCCAACAGTCCCTCAGTAAGACTGCTTACATGGGCTGTGGAAGACCTGAATTCAAATATCTCCACTTCTGAGAGACTGAACTCCCTCCTCCAGGAGTCCACCCAGTTGCAGACTCATCACCGCTCTCTCCCAGCCCCAAGAACAATTACATCAGTGAAAAATAAAACAATCCCACCAGGGGAGAGTAAACCTTGCAGTAGGACACCTGATAAAGGGCTTGTCTGCGGAACAACAGACCTGGGTTCAAATCCCACTGGAAAGATGAGGGATTTGAACCCAGGTCTTCCACAGCCCAGGCAAGCTGGTTAACACCTGGCTGCAAGATGAAGAGGGCCCCTCTCCTGGGGCTATTTCAGACAAGCGCTGATCCAGCAATCGTCTTTGCTGGAAAGAGCATGTGAAAGGGATGCCTAGCACATATGCAGTCCTGGGCATGGCCTTTAAGCAGTGGAGAAACTTTTACAGAGGCAGTTTAGGAGCCTCTAGGGTAGCAACCACAGAGAATTTGAAAGTCTATATTTTGGGCAGAGATGCTTAAGACAACAGCTGGGCACCTAAGTCCTTTTCTAAGTGTAGCTCCAACCAATGCAACAGCCTTAGTCCTCTTGGTGTTGATAGAGCCTTGTAGCTCCTAAGCCTTGACTTCCTTCTGAAAAATCAGGTATACGAGCTTATAAAGGCTTTATTCATATTCCCCTCCTTCCCCCAGCTTTCTTTGCATCATCAGTCTGGTTCTTCCATTTACTGCGTCTAAAACGGATAAAGGAGAATAAGGAGCAAAGAGCTCACTGCTTGCCAATAAACAGGGTGAAAAAGTAAAAAAGGAGGCGGCACAAGCACTAGCACATCCTCCTAAAAGAACAACTCTACTACTATGTCACACAATTATTCCATGGTCTGAAACGTGCCACATCGGACACAAAAGCCTCACCATGGCCGCAGAAAACTACAGTATTAAAACGATTTTGATTTATTGCCTTCTTTCTGCGTGGCAAAACATATTAGGGCTTTCTGCACATCTGTGTCTGACTTTGTTGAACCAGCCAAAACACTCTACTGGAAAGAGAAGATCTGATAGGATAAACCCTGTAAGGGGAAAATAAGAGCTGGATTAGCCAGACTTCCATCTGGAGACAATTAAGCATTTGTTAAAGTGACTATATAACTAAATAAACCTCAGCAAAATAACTGATAAACATATTCATGGCTAATACACAGTTTATTCATTAGCACTGCTGGCTGGAATTGCTGAAGCAGACTATAAGCATGCTCCCTATGAGGAGTTAACACAGCTCTTCAGGAGTTAATGGAGGAATAAGCATAAGGATGGACTCTCAATTTTCTAATAAGGTACAGTATTCATTAAGTTCAGAACATGCTCCTAATCTTGAACTTCCCATTCCTTCTCTTTAGCAACTGAAAACATAGATGCTACAGTTTGAAAAGGAAGAAGAGAGGTAGCATGACTAATATCTCTACTATGCAAGCTAAAATAAAGATCATGAGAAAAAAAACAAACAAACAGATTTTTCCCAAAAAAGCAGCTGGAAAAGGTTGAGAAAATCGCTACATATATTTCTAAACTCTCTTCTACCACATTCTCCCTAACATCATACAGCAAGGCAAGACCGGTCAGATGTATAACTCTGAAGCTCTAAGTGTTGGGAAATCCTGGAGATAAAAAAAAAAAAAAATCATATTTATTTGAAAAGTAACCTGGTAACCTGGTCATCTATATTGAACTATAACCCAACATCTGACAACAGTGTTTCTGCAGGGGTTATTTTTATTATAGTAGATATGTAGCCTGCAGAACTTATTCCCTGTTAAGGAGAAGGATGCTTGAGAAGCGATACAGAACAAGGTTTGTATGCTTAGCAGCTAGTAAAACGAAGTGACTGTAGAGGTCTAGCCCTGGAAATTATAAAACAAAGTTTTTGACCAAGCTACTATCACAGCCCATTATAATGGGCATTGCCTAGCACACTCAAAATAATTCAATTAAGCAAACCAGAAGCCTGTTGGTTCAAGGGATTAATGTAATTCACAACCTCGTTGTTGATGAATTTAGATGACTTCATTTGTAAGGGGGGAAAAAAACGTAGATAAAAAGGAACTGCCAGATCCAGGGCACAGAAGGTTTTACCTCTACCCAAAGCATAAATCATCAAAATATGCTAGATGAATCAAATACACAGCACTTCAGAGATCAAACATATAACAGAAGACATGCCGTGCATCTACACAAAGAGCTTGGTATGGGCTTAAGATCGGACTAACACCCTAATGCCCCTTGCATCTGTATAAATGCAACCACCAGCAACCATTCTAGAGAATGCTTCACTGAAGTCAAATACAAGGAAAGAAGGGAGCAACCTGAGAGCACAACCTCCTGCAACAGGACGTGAAGGACAGCAGTTGTCCAATGGCTCAAGGACTAGAGTTCTCCCATAGTTAAACTGTATCTTGACAATAAATTAGCAGACACAAATGGCTACTACGGCCATAGTAGTACTATGCTTACTAACTGCGTCTCAGCTTAAATCAACAACAGGAATACCTCTGGTTTGTTTCAGGGCAAAGTCAAAACATTTAATCTATACCACCTTTAGTAGTAGTTTCAATTCACCTTTTTGACCTACCCCACAAACCAACTAGGAATGAGACATGGTTTAGGAAACATAACTAACTATAACTTTACAGACTTATCACGAATAAACAGTTGGTTTACTACTCAGCTGTGAGGGAACATCCAAAGTTTGCCGGATTGCAGTCCAAAGACCGTATTACTTCATGCCTAGCCCTACGCTCCTGATCAGATGCCTGTGTGAAATTTTGGCTTGACAAAGTCTTATCCTTTGGACTATGGAGAACTAAAGATGGAGCATGCACAATTGTTTTCAGGATCTTAAAGCCACCAATTATGTGGAAGGCATATTAATATGCAAGTTCTTTGAACAGGACCACACATTTCCAGGATGTCTTAAAAATAGGTTTCTAAGAAAACTTTGTCTTCAAGTCTCTCTCCTTTAAGAAACATTTATTTGGTATTTTCCTGCACAACAGTGAGGGCTAGACAATTTATTCCTTCTTTTAAAGCTGTTTTTTTTAATCCCCCTTCCATTGTCCGAATCTTCAAAAAAAAAAAAAAAGCCAGCAATCACAAAATCGGAGAGGAATTCAACAAAAATACTGCACAGCCTAGATGGAGCGCACTCTGAAGGTTACCAGTACAGCTACAAGATATGAACCACTCATATCACCTCAGTTTCCAAATACTAATCAAGTGTTTGACTTTTTTTTTTTTTTTTTAGCCTCCTAGGGAAGAGCTTCAAAACTAAATCAGGGAATAACAATCGGTAACAGCTGTGACAGTGCCAAAGAAAGTCTAAAATAAGAACGATTCGTATGGGTAATCGGCAGCTATGCAGTGTCCATTCAGAAAGCACCTAATCAAGTGATCAGGAAATTCTTACAGACAAGTGTCACAGGATCTGTAGGCCTGCTCACCTTTAGAAGGGTGACAGGTCTTCTCTAAGGGCTACAAGCACTGAAAGACAGATTTGCTTCACCTTTGTTTGCAGCAGTAAGATGCACGTAACATTGTCTTCCTCCACACTAAACGTACACCAGCTTTCCCTAGGATAAAGTCTCAGCTGATATTAAAAATAGCTTGTATATATTTATCAATAGCTCGTGTAACTCCTGTAGCTACAAAACAAAAAAGAAAAACTTTCAAAACATTGTAACTTCAGTTGCTCTACAAGAACAATAATAATTCTGGCCAAAAAACAAATGGAAGGACAGTGAGGTCTAAAAGGACCACTGTCCTCTGCCTCTTACAAAAGATTAAAGATACTCATCTCACCTGTTAGTCTTCTCAGGAATTATGCCACCAGGTATTTTCTGAGCTGTGCTGGACTCCTGGCTGGCTGAGAACTCCAGCAGATTTCTGGTCCGATGGTTAGAACTCACAGCGGAATCAACTGCACTGGCATCCTTTTCAAATACTCTGGAAAATATAAACAGCTATAGCAAAACATATCACTTATACACAAAGAATCTGCAAGACACTTTACTGTAAGGTGTTAAATAAGTGAATAACTTCCTGGCTGCTAGTATCTGTGTTACATGGATATGGTTCGTGTCATATCTAATGCTGAAACTTAGAATCTCGTGCCATTAAATGACTGTGATTCAAAGCATGACTCAAGAGAAAAGTAATTCCGTTCTCCTTCTCAGTGTCTCTTGCCGGAAGGATTTTGATGCTCTGGTTTTCTTGTTTCCCCATAGCCCCACCTGATGAAATTGAAATCAATCTGTAAGCCCTGCAGGCAGGAGAGAATTACCTATATTCGAGTCAAAGTACTCCTGAACTTTTGCTTTCATTAGTCCCATAACATAATTGACACAAATTATACGAATACAGCATGTAAAGAGAACACAGCTACCGAATTCTAAGCAGCTGTTGGCTTGGAATATTATGCCGATCATTTAACAAAACGAGAGACTTATCTATGTTCAAGCCCATACGGATTTAGAGGCATTAGCAGGACTGACAACTCCATCTACACAGCAGCCGTGAGGCCTCTTCCCAGACAGGCAGCCTTGCTGGGGTAGGCTTGCACTGATCAGAGGATCCTCCCCAGGGGCTGCTCTCCCCTGCATGCTACCCATGCAGCATCCAAACCTCTGTGCTGCTCTCGATGCAAAGCAATGCAGCAGTATTTTAAGCAGGAGCTGGAAAAACAACTAGACAACCACTATACGGGAATGACTCCATCTTAGTTTAGAAGGGCAAGTTACAGTGAAGTATCCTAAAGGCACAAAAGCAATATTTTAAGATATCTTCCCCAGAGGCTAGCTTTACTCTTTTGGAAACACGGTTGCTTCCCAAAATACATACATTTACAAAATCAAGTCCTAACCTTCTTAGCTGACAAGAGCAAAGCACTGCCAGCAGCAACACAGCAAAAATGCAAAATACAACAAGACCACAGCATGTTGATGAGACCACGGCTTACAGAGCACATTTTAATTCATGCCCCATCTGTCCTGTGCAGCAGAGCATAAACTCTGCAGGGTAAGATCTCATTTTCCTGTCTGTTATATGCCATCATGCCGTAACAGGCAATGAATACCAACGATAATAACAGAGAAAAGTGAGAACTAGCAAGGGGAGCAGATCAAATACTCCGCAACCAAGTTGAAGGTATTCAAACACAGTTTCCTAGCAAACCTCTCTCTTTTGCCAACACACTTGCGCTCCTGTTAACAGTAAGCTAGCTCTCCCTATGAGTAACTGTGTCACGTTCGGCAGAACCATCAGAGCCAGGGCAATTCCAGATAAAGGCCTGACGTCACTTGGACTGTGCCTCGTTTCCTCCAGGTTTCCAGGCAGCAGCACAGAACCAGGGCACTGCAAATGTTATAGGCTCCGTTTTCACTAAAGTGAAAAACATTTATAGATAGTTTCCTTACTGTATATGTGAACTACCATCCAGAAGTCTCGTTGCTTCTGATGCATAGAACGGAAAGACAGATGGTTTATTCAGAGCCCTGTAGATTAAGACGAGCGTTACAACAGAGCACAGGCAACCCCACGGGCAGGAGTTATCTCCCAGTATATGCCACAGCACCTAACCTGACCGGTAGTAACTCTCAGCAACAAAACTAATGTTTTAAGCATCAACTGATATTTGCTAATATTGTTTCTATTCTTTCTAAACGCAGCTATGCTTATGACACAAATATAAGCTTCCTTCCCACTCAGAGCACATGTTTTGTGAACACCTAGAAGGTGACATACATCGGAAATAGCCTTTGACTGAGGGTCTTCTTTCATGCAAATACTTCTTTCTCAAACAACAGGGAAGCCAGAACATATTTAAGCTGCTCAACACTAGCATCATGAATCCAATATGGAAAAGCAAAACACAGGAGCAACAGAGCAGGAAAAAACCCTATGAGCACAGAGACCAAAAGACAGTAGGACCCTATAGATTTAATGAAACAGCAACAGTCTCTTTGATCCAGGCTTGTAAAGGGCCTGGCATAGTGCTGTCCTAGCACAAAAGTAAAATTCTTTGAAGCAACAATAAAGACACATAAGTCCATTTATTCTTGTCCTATGAGCCATATTCAGTGCTGAGGAGAGAAACCCTGCTCTGTGACACTGCAGTATCTGTTTTAAGATAACACTACCCAAATGGAAAGAAAAATACAGATGAAAAGTGCAAGTGATATAAGTTGTGCTGTCTGGGTCAAGACAAATGGTACATTAGATTCCTTCTGTCCCTCAAAGCCAGAGCTGCACGGAAGAATTAGAAGAAACAAATGAGCAAACAAAAAAAAGAAATTAAAAAACAACAACCACCACCACCACCACCACCACCAACAAAACAGAAGAACCTACATCATCACCACCACAATATCCAATCACAAAGAAAAAATCTCCACCATCTACTACTTTAAGAGGCCACGTTTCTTCTCTTCTGATGAAAGCATCAGCACAGCTGGCAGCAATTCAAGCCAGTACTAGACTTCAAAATTAAATCTTATGTCTAAAAGGACGTCATACGCTCCTGCTGAAAGTCCCTCCCCTGCAAAATGGACTCCAAGTTCCTGCTCTACCTAATTTGGAGCCCTGACAGCCAGAAGTATACAGAAGTTTATTCATGAAACCAAAACTATCCATCACAGAAGATCTGTAAGTCAGAGCATTCTCCTGCAACCTGTTTCACCCACATCCCAAAATGAAGTAGCCATCCACTGCATTGGTGAACCTACTGGATCTGGCATTTTAGCCTATCCTGCTTTTCCTCCTTCCTGTTCCAAATGACACTTTGAACAAAAGACACCTTTCATAAAAGCACTTAGTTAAAGCTGATAAAAACCTAACCAGTAGAATCCTAACAAATCCATATTTTCCATGATGGCTCTTTCTCCCTATTCACCTAGCTCTGCAAAGGTGGGTCCCATAATTTCAGGTCCCATTTTGGGGAAGCGACTAGATCAGATGAAATACCACATGTAACATTATTACTCCAGTTCACCTTGAACTCTCCGAATGAAAATAGAGAAATACAAGCCAACTTCATGCAGGATAAAGATACACACTGCTCTGCAATCACAGTTAGTCTTCAGTTTTTCTAACTCAGTTGTTTTAGCTGTACAGCTACTTAAAAAACAAACCAAAACCTCACTTTATTATATCAGCTTTTATAGAAGGAAAGTGTTTATTTTTACTCTCCTCCTACTTAAAACACCTAAAGCTTTTCATTAAAATTTCACTCTGGCAGAAACTAAGCATGGGAGGTTTCAACCTGAAAGATTTCTTCAGCAGTGAGCAACAAAGAAGGATGCACACAGACTACGTTTTGCAGTCCCTACAAGCATAAACCACTTTTGAGAACAAAGGCACCAACTTGAAAGCAAATAAGATAATATTTATGGTATTTATTGCAATGCTTTTTCTTTATCAGGAGTGTTATTTCTCCACAAAATGCTTCTTTTGAAGCAGGGCCAGCAGCAATTGCTGCCTTAAACTACATGGGCTACACTTGCCTCCCCTATCCCACTCATTCTTGCAGAATCTTGGAGATGATCAAAAGCATTCTTCTCAGTCTCAAATGCGGCTAGAGAGAAGAAAGGGGAGAGGAAAAAAAAAAGCCCTTCCTTGATCCTTTGGTTTGTAATAATGATCCAGTATCAAGAGAACCTTCCTTTTTGATAAGACAAAAATAATAATAATAATAATAAAGCAATTTGAAATACTGCCTGTCCTTTACTTTCCAGTTATTTAGGGAGTTTTGTTAATTCTTCCCCTTCTGAACAGAAGATTCTGTTGTTCCATCATATAGCTGCTTTCCCTTCCTTGCCCACACAAGCGCTCACTTGTAAAACCTGTCTGCAAATAGGGGTCCGTTTTCAAATAATGGAGAGGAGAAGACATGCAAGTTAAGGGTCTATATCCTCATCCGACTCCTTCCTCCCAAAGATCATTCCTTGCCAAGTACCTACATGAGGGCATGACAAAGGACATCAGAAAAGTTTCCTCTTTGACCTCTCACATAGACATGGGGAAAAGCATGAGTTCTCACCAAAGAATTCCATTAGCAGCTGGGATGAAGGAGGACCGACCTCTCCTGCAGAGGTGCATCGGAAATACCTGCCTTAGTTAAGGCATACTGAGCTTTCCAAGCACCAGGCAGAACAGCAGCTCTGTGAGATGGAACAGGAAGAGACTATGGAGCAGATCCCAACAGCATCATCCTGAAGATTAAATCAATGTTCAGCATTTAAAAGCATCATACAGAGAAGGACAGAAACAGTGAAAAGGAAAGGTAGGCGATTCCATTTAGAGGGAAAAAGCTGCTGTAAAACAGCATTTTCAGCTAAAATATCAACAGTTGCTGGAAAAAAAAAAACTCGTTTTAATATGACAGATGGCAAAAGCAAGCACAAGTTTTTCATTCAGTTGGGTTACAAAATGAGAATTTGGAGAGGCTGCAAAATAGAACACTTGGCCACATCTGCCCTGAGCAAGTCCTATTGTTTGCAGGAAATGAGTTCCTGCCCCATGTTACAAATCCAGAAAGACCAAGGCTGCAAACTGCCTTTATCGGACAAGATGACCAGTGAGAGGTTGGAACTGCTCTGTTCTGTTCCACCACACTTACAAACCTGGGGTGTCTATGCAGGCTTCACAGCCTGTGTTTGGATGTTACAGATATTCTGGGCATTAAAGGGTTTTCACACAGCCACAAACACTCTGTCCAAGCTGGCTGGGCTATGGGCTTGTTTAAGATGCAAAATCAGATCCAAAGAAAAAAGAAAGAACCACTAAGCACTTCATGCGATGTTTGTTCAAAAAACGTAGATAACTGATTACAGGAGGAAAAGAAAAGCAACACCCCTCTGTCATGGTTCTCCAGGAATTCCATGGCACCCGATATTTTAGCTGTATTTTTACTTCTTTGGTTTGAACGTCAGTTTGATAAATGTGAAAGC